CAAAACAAGATGGTACTAAATCAGCATTACCTATTAAGATGTCATTTTCTCCAAAAAAAGCTGTTCCTATCATCCAATCTTCTCTGTCTCATTTCTGTTGAGCTCTTTTTCTGTCAGTAGCTGTCAGTTTGTCTTCTTCATTTTGTTCTCTGCTCCATTCGTTGTCGCCTCCCCGCCACTATTTCTGGGTTCTTTGTATTTTTCTTTTTTTAGAATATCCTGCAATACTTTCTGTAGGGTTGAATTGGTGGTTGCAAATTCCCCCAGTTCCTCTTTATCCTGGAAGCACCTCGTTTTTCCATCAATTTCCAGGGACAGTTGTGCAGGATATCTCAATCTTGGCTGGAGATTATTATCTTTCAAAGCTTGAATTATTTCTCCCCATGCTCTTCGTGATTTGATGGTTTGTGAAGAGAAATCTGCTGTAATTCTGATGGGTATTCCCTTGTAAGTGATCTGTTTCTTGTCTCTTACAGCTTTTAATATTCTGTTCTTGTATTGAATTTCTGGAATTTTTATTATTATATGCCTGGGTGTTTCTCTGTTAGGGTTGTAGGTAGCTGGGGTCCTGTATGCCTCATACATCTGAGTATCTTTACCTTTTGCTAAATTAGGAAAATTCTCCTGGATTATTTCTGTAAGTAGCTTTTGTAGTTCACTTGTTTGTGTCCCTACTTCTTCTTTTATGTTCTTAATCCTTAAGTTATGGCTCCTCTTATCATCTTCTTGTCTTTGTATTATTGCTGTGTGTTTCTTTGTTATTTTTAAGAAGTTTTTCATTTCATTCTCCCATGTTTCAAGTCTGCCCTCCAATTCAGATAGTCTGTCCTTAGTTTCTTTCAAGCTGTTATGCCAGTCTTGGATAGACTTCTTAATTTCTTGATAGTCCCTTTGAACCTGCTTCACATACTCAATGCTTTCTCTGTTTTCTCCATCAAGCAATTCTCCCCTCTTTTTCTGTTCTTCCATTCCACCATCTGCTTTTTCCTGGGTGGTGCTTAGCATTTCTCTAACTATTCTGCATACTTCTAGCTTCAGGTCATTGATAACTTCATTCCTGAATTGGTCTATGAGGCTCTCTATATGGCGCTTAATGTATATTGGTGCGGTGTCCACTATTGCCTGATTCTCAGGATTGGGGGCCGAGGAGCCTTTTTTGTTGCTTCCCTTCCCCATATTTTCTGTTCCTTATAAAATGCAATCTTACATAGGAGGCCCGGCTTCCCTGCCTGTCAGCCACAGCCTGATCAAATTGCGCTGGCTAGTTGTTCCCGCCCACCGCTGTGCCCCAGGGAGTTGCGGAGGAGGCAGCCTACGCAGGAGTCGGTCGCTCCTCCGGGCCACCGTCAGGCTCTGGGATCTGGGTTAGGCCAGCCTAGGGAGTCCGCCAGCAGCGTCACGCAGGCCAGGCACTTTTCACCAATCCCTTCCGAGAGGGGAATGTGTGGCTGGAGTTGCCACCGCGCCCTGCTCTTACAGGACTGCCTGAGCCCAGAAAAACCTCCGCTGGAGTCAAACTGTGGTAGGGGGTCAGTTTCTCGCTCACCTCGCCACCAGTCAGTTTTCGTGTACGCCTCCCTGGCCGTCCTGTTTCCGACTCCGTTCGCAGACTCCCGTTCCCAGAGCTCGGCGCGTCTCTCCTTGCCGAGCCGCTGTGGAGGCAGCCAGCCGCCGGGCGGCGGGAAACTCAAATCGCGGTTTCCAATGGCGCGGGGTCGAGCCTCCACACCGAGACTTTTCTGTTCCTATTTTAGCGCCAGGACTGTATTCTAAGTTGGATTCTCTCAGCCCAGTTCGTTCCTGAGTCAGCAGAGCATATCTCTACTGGTTCGTATCTCCTTAGTCCGCATCATTCCTGGCCTCTGAGCCGAGCCTTTCAGAGAGCCTTCAGTAGTTGCTGTTGTCTGTCCGCCATGTTCTCCTGCCTCAGCTAAAGGGTTTCTATTAGTAGTTTTGTGATTCTTCACTGCTAATTTCATTTCTGTCATTTTTGGCATCTATAGACTATTTTTCCTGGTTATGGATTATATCTTCCTTTTCCTTTGTCTGCCTCATATTTTTGACCACATACTAGACATTAAATTTACATAGTTAAGTTTATAAAAAACTTACAGAAAAAATAAAATCAAGAAAATAATCTCATTTATATTAGCTAAATAAAATAAAATAATTAGAAAGTTACCTAAGGAAGTGTAAGAATTATCACTGAAAGCAATCAAGAGCACATAATGGAGAAAGTCTTTGTGATAAATCATATGGGAGAACTGTATACACACATTCAGAGGACTGCAGTTAGACCCTCGTCTCACACCACGCGCAAAAGTTAACTAGAATTGGATTGAAGACTTCAGTGCAAGACCTGACATTAAAACAACTAGAAGAAAACAAGACGGGAAAATGTCCATGGAATTCATCTGGACAGTAAGTTTTCGGCTATGATCTGAAAAGCACAGACAGTAAAATCAAAACAGATGAATGAGATTATAGCAGAGGCACAAGCATGGGAACAATTCATGGAGGAGAGTGACCCAAGTAGAGAGAGAGCCGAAGGAATGAGACAAAAGACTAGGCAATCTGTATATCTAATAAAGTGGTGTTTTTGTTTGTGTACATATATATTTTTTGAGACAGGGTTTCACTATGCAGTGCAGGCTGACCTTGAGCATAGCCCTGGCTGGCCTTGAACTCCTAGTGATCCTTCTGTCTCTGTCTCCCTGGTGCTGGGATTACAGGCATGTGCTACTATGCCTGGCTGATAAAGTATTAATATCCAAGATATGTAAGGAATGCAAATAACTCAGTAGTAAGAAAAAATAACCCACTTATAAAATGGGCAAAAATGTAAATAAACATTTCTCAAAAGACAACATGCTTAACATCACTAATCATTAGAAAAATGTGAATTCACACTACAATGACAGATTACTTTATGCCTGTTAGAAGGTTATTGAAAAACACAGAGGAGCTTGGAAGGAAGAAAAGAGATCCTCCTCTACTGTTGAGTGGGAATGTGAACTGGTACAGTCGTGGAAATCAGTATGGAGACTGAAGTACCATATTATACAGCAACACCACTCCTGAGTCTGTACCCAAAGGAAATGGCATGTGGAAGAGACAGCTAGGTGCACCCTGTGTTCACTGTGGAGATAGAGAAACAACCTTAGTGTTCCCAGAGACAGAAGTTGCCAAAGCTGAAAGGCAAATTGCTAAACTCCATTATGTTGGAATTTTAAAATATCTTACTCATAGAAAAATTGCACAGATTTTCTTCAGGATATCTTTCAAACAGTGTGACGAAGTTGACATTTAGGGTAATTACCCAAAAATTCATATTCTTTAAAAGTATCCATCAGAGTTTCATCAGGATAAAACATGTTGGTCTTTAAAGCTCTCTGACTACAAATGGATTAATTAAAAATCAATTCAAGTATGGGAACTGTTCACAAAAAGTTGGAAATTATATCATCCAGATCAAATAAAAAAACTCAAATATCAAAAATTGTGGGAAATAACTGAAGTGGAGCTTAGAAGGAAACTGGTGACTTTCAAGGGCTTTGCTAGAAAAGAAAGGAGAAAACATGACGATCACATGAAGCTATCTAATACTTATGTGTGGAATAAATTTAAAAAAAAAAAACCTCAAGCCCATCCTTCTGGTTCACGTCTGGAATCCTACAACTCTGGGAGGCTGAGGCAGTAGGAATGCAAGTTCAAACTCAGCCTGGATAACGTAGCAAGGTCTTGTCTCAAATTTTTTTTTGAACAGGGCTGGGCATGTAGCTTATTGTACACACACACACACACACACACACACACACACACACACATAGATACACATGTATATTTGTAAATATATAAATGTGTTTCTAATGCATATTTCTAAAAATTTTCAAGTAACATAGGATGATGGGAAAACAAAACAAATAAAAAATGGAACAACAGAGAATAAAATTTGTTAGATTAAGCTTTAACCTATCAGTATTTATTTAAAACAAATACTCTATACCAATAACAGAGACTTTGAATCTATTAAAAAATGGCCCAAATGTATGCTACTTATAAAACATTTATATAAATGTAATTATAGACATTGGTTATACACATGGAATAGATATTATTCAGCATTAACAAAGAACAAACCATCGATACGTGTAATAACTTGGACAGTATCTCAAGGCCGTAACAGCTAATCAATCTCCAAAGGTCTCAGACTATATGACTTTTATACAGAGGATGAAAGACAGAATCATAGAGATTTGAAACATTAATGGCTGTCAGATGTTTAGAGTGATGGGAGGCAGAGGGGCAGGAGTGACCCCGAAGGTATATGGGGATTGAGCAAAACTGATCTTGGAGCTTGTGTAACAGTTCTGGATCTTGGTCTAAGTGATGGTTGCAAAAATGTACATATGTGATAAAGTGCCACAGACCTAGAAATAAGGACATTACATCAATGTCAACTTTCAGGCTTTGATATTTTAGTATAATTATGCATGATGTAACCATTGGAGAGTGCAGGAGGAGGTATGCATTGAACCTTTCTTAACTATATTTTTCCATTTACGAGAGACCATAATTTTAAAATTTAAAAAATTACAAAGGAATAAAGTATTGATATATATATATATATATATAAAACACATATATAAATGATGATTATCAAAGCAGTATGTTGATAGAAATATACTGTGTATTTCTAAAAAGTCTAAGTACAACTTAGAGTACAGTATATAAAGTCTGGAAACAGGGAAAGCTAATTCATGGCGACATAAATTGGAATAGTAGTTCCCTAATGGTGTGGATAGTGGGACACTTGGTCTAGCAAGGGCCACGAATGAATGTACATTATCAGCCCTGTAAAGTGTTCTTTTTAGGTATACACATTTTACTGCCCATGAGTTACAGCCAAGAAAACCTGCATTTCAAAAATGACACGGTATTTTTAGCAGTTTCCTGGTGAAGTGGTCCTATTACATATGTGACTGTCTCTTCCCCCACAGCAAGAGTTCTTCGAAAGCCTTTATACCTTATACACGATTGGTTATTCCATCTCCTTTGGTTCCTTGACTGTGGCAATTCTCATCATCGGCTACTTTAGGTGAGTGATTCTTAATCACTTTTTCCATAAACGGACATGTTCTGATTCCTATTCATAGAAGACAAAGATCTCACAAATCTGTGCCCCTAAAATTTTCCCCCCCAAAACATTTTTTTTTGGACACAGAGTCTCTCTATTTCAGGTTAGCCTTGAACTCACCACGTAGCCTAGGCTGGCCTTGAACTCATTGATAATCTTCCTGTCTCAGCCTCCCTCTTGCTAGGATTATAGGTGTGTGCCACCATATCTGGCCCCCCAAAATATTTGAAGTTAAACCTAATGTTATTATATTATTTGACAATCCATTTTTCATTACTAGTTCAAGGGTTTTGGGGTAAACCTAAAACATCAGAGCTATAATATCTAACAATAGACCTGTATTTCATTATATTTTCCTGCAAAGTAATGTAGTAAAGAGTCCAGTGAGTTATGATAATAATAGTTTATGTTTCCCAAATAATTTTTGTGTCACTGGACAAATTCCAAATTGTTTGATATTATCACATAAAAGTACAGGGTTTTTAGATTTTGTTGTAAATGTGTGTGAAATTGAATTCAGCTTAATATAAATCAACACAAATGCTTGAGCATCCAAAAAGAGATATAAAAGAGATTCTTTAGAGGATGCATATAGTTGTGATGCTCACAGTTGATTTGTGATGTCAGTATTTGTCAAAACAAGTAGTATACAAGGTGAGAAGTGCTGTGAGGGGCTGCCCAGAAGTTTGCTTTAATGTTTGGGAGCGTGCAGTAATTTGGAAAGGAGAGAGGGCAGTGAAGTTGTGCACCTTTAGAGGAAAAGAAATCTGAAACAATACCTGGGAGTAACATTTAACCAAAATATGAGACCTTGTAAGAGAACTGGATTCTTGTTTCTCCTCCTGGCCCTGCATGGTTTCTGTCGGCTCATGAAAAGGGTGAGTTGGCTCCTTGTTTCTCCTCCTGGGCCTGCATGGTTTCTGCAAGCTCATGGGAAGGACAATTCTGAACACACTTAAAAACGCTTAGCTAGACTGAGAAAAAAAGAGACTTGAATAAATAAATCCAAAGTCAAAAAGGAAGCTATTGTGACCAAAGCTGCAGAAATACAAAGAATCATTAGAGTCTATCACGAAAACTGTGCACCAGCAAATTTAGTCACCCACAAGGCATATATTGACTTCATGCTTGGTAAGCATGCAGCTTACCAAGATTGCATCATGAAGAAACAAAAAATCTTGACAAAGAATGAGTAATAAGATTGGCATAGTAATAAAAAGTCTACCGTCAAAGAAAAGCTTAAAACCTGATGGTTTCATTGCTGGGTGATAGCATATTTAAAGAACTAATCCTGTTTCTTTGTAAACTATTCCCAAAAATTATAGAGCAAGGAAGTCTTTCAGATTCATTCTATGAGATCAGCATTATTCTGGTACTAAAATGAGACAAATAGGCAACAAGAAAGACTAATATCTTTGATGAGCATCATTGCAAAAACCCTCAACAAAATACCAGTGAAGTGAACCAAACAGCACATTAAAAAGATTACCGTCATGATCAAGTGGAATTCATCATAGGGATGCAAGAATGGTTCAACATATACGAATCAGTGGAGAGATACACCAACCACATCCACAGGATGAAGGTCAAAAACCACATTAAGCTTTTTGAATAGAAGGGTATAACACGATCAGATTTGTGGGATTATAGACAGCTTCTCGCTAACAGTCTTGACAAATTGAGATGGCATTTATCTTTCTATCTTCTAGAAACTGAGGCACTGTGTCCAGGGTCAGAAGGTCATAGAGGGTAAAGCTGTAAATGGAACCCTTGTCTTCTATTACAGCAGCTTAGCTCTGGTTGTTCAGCATAATAGACAAGTATTTATTTATTCACCAGTACTGGGGGTTTATTCATCAGTACCAGAGAATACTGAGCTACGTGCTCAACCACCCTTTTCAAATTATATTTTGAGACTAAGTCTCACCAAGTTGCCTAGACTGGGCTTGAACTTCTGATTTCCTGCCTCAGCCTTCTAAGGAGGATTCCACACATGTACCACCATACTGGCTTATGAGTCTTGATAAGACAAAAAAGCAGCTATTTCAGGAGGATACAAATGGCTAAATGACCATTCTTCAGTTTACATAATCATCACGTATTTAACTGTAGATTATTTATAATTGGGGCACAATTACTTTCTGTAAAATGAGTCTACTGTACTTTGCAAAAACATTACATAAAAATTTCAGAAACATTTTATAAACAAAATATTCCTTTAGTAGGATAGTAAATAATGTTGAGTCCATTGAAAGTCAAAATCTATATTATACAGAAATATGTAACAATTATGACTTTACCTGACACCTTATCTAGCCAAATACCATATGAGTTAATTTTTTTTATTGCACAGAGGACACTTTCTAGGAGGAATGAATGAGTGAGGGATTCCATCTAAGCCTAGTGGTCATAAATACATGTTCATAACATATTAATGCTCACACTCCAAAAATCTGTTTGGCTCATTCTCATTTGAATATTGTTTTCTATGTAAAGAAATGTAAACCCGACACAAGAATACATACTGTTTGATGCTGTTTTTATAGAAGTCAAGCATGGGGAATTAATCCCTGATGTTACTTTCGGTCAGCCACTGATTGGAAAGATGGATTCTGACATCTGGATAATGTTCTGTTCTTGGTCTGGCTCCTGATAACATGGATATGATAGCTTTGTGAAACTCGTGTGTGGATTTGTCCACTTTTATGCTATGTCCACTTTCTTCTATAGATGTTATAAATTTTAAAAAGTATTCCATATCAGTCACAGCACACATGCAGTTTAGTATCATTTGAAACAGGGATTTTTAAATGAGAGTATATTAATAACATAATTATAAAAATATATTATCAGTTTAAAATATCCTACTCCCTTATACATGAATGCTTTACCAGTTTTGGAAGGAAAGTAGTATATATGTGGCAGAGACATTGTATATTTAAGTTTTAGCTTTCTAACAGTCCTTTTGATCAGATTCTCTAACCTTTTCCTTAGTCTCTTTTTCCATGAAAATTAAAAATATATCTTATGGGGAATAACTTTCTATACTCCCAGTGAATAGCACTGTGGCTACTTACAATGTACTATAATATTTAACGCTTCAAACTCTGAATAAATATAATAACAAATCAAGATACATTTGAAATTAATCATTAAAAAGTTGCATTTTAGTTTTAAACCCCAGTTGTTATTGAAAACATAATAATGGATTTCTTTTTTTTTGGGGTAGCTGGGATTGAACTCACAACTGCGTGTTTGCAAGGCAAGCACTTACCACTGAGCTAAACTCCCAGCCCACAGTAATGGGTTTCTGTCTTTGATTTTACCATATTTTCCTCTTTTGGGAAGAGAATTCGGGTTCGTTTTATTTTTTTCTCCTTTTTCCAATTTTATCCAGACGTGAATCCTGGCTGTTTCTCCCCACAGGCGATTGCACTGCACTAGGAATTACATCCACCTGCACTTATTCATGTCTTTCATGCTGAGAGCTATAAGCATCTTTGTCAAGGACAAGGCGGCCCAGGCTCACCTGCGAATAGGGGAGTTGCAGTCCCTGATGGTGCAGGATGACCTACAGAATTCCATCGGAGTGCCTTCTCTGGACAAGTCACAGTATGTAAGTGTTTTCACCATTTTCTTTCAGTATGATTTTCAGCACATGACAAGTAAGTGAAATTTCACTGTCCACTAAGCATTTGTTGCCATGTTTTGGCTTTTTTTGGTCTCTGAATTACCTAAATTAAGTGATTGATGCTTTCTTCCTCAATTTGCCCTCTCTTATTTTGTTAGTCAACTTTTGGTAGCCATGATCAAATATCTGAGCTAAAAAGCTTCAAGGAGAAAAGATTTCTCTTGACTCATGGTCAGCCTGTGGTTGGCTGGCTGCAACACAGAAATATCATGGCAGACAGGGATGGTGGTGGGAAGCTGCTTACCTCACCGGAACCAGGAAGTACAGAGGGAAGGAAAGATCCAGAAAGAGAGGGCAGGACTGGGGAGCATATGCCTCCTTCAAAGGGAGCCACATCTCCTAATAGTCCGTTCAACTCAAACTCATCAATGAGTTAGTTAACTGGTGAGTTCAGTGCCATAATCCAGTGACCTCCCTAGGTCTCACCTCTGAGCATTGGTGCACTGGAGATGATCAATACAAAATCTTTAAGGGACACTTCCTATTGAAACCATCAAGTCTCACCATTCATTTTAGAGTCTGAAAAATGTCCTTGGGCTATTTCCTCCAGAACATTCTAGAATGTACTATAAAAAACTTATAATTGGACTAACATTTGATGTATAGACCATAGCAACTCTCATGGGTCACTGCTTTTGAAAGTAAAAAAGCAAAAACAAGCAAGCCAGCAAGCAAACAAAAAACCCCCAACTCGTCAGTGAAACTAGTGATTTGGTGTTTAGGAGTCTATAATAGTTTCACATGAGGTGAGAGAGGGAGCCAGGAGGGGGGGCCTCCATGAGTGAGCCCAGGTCCACAGAACTACTCAGCCCATTCATAGATCCACGAGACAGGAGGAATTCACCGTTTTAAGTCATTAACTTTGGGGGCAGTGTGTTTGCTGCAATAGCAGCATAAGAAGTCTGGAATGAAATTCATGGTAGTGAAATAGATAATATTTTCTTCTTTGGGATTCCTTATACGTCCCATGTTCTCTGAAAATCATGTATTATTTTTATAAAGGGAAAATTTATGAAAAGGTGACATTTTTGTAACTTTTAAAATAAAAAGTACTATGTTAACATTAGAATTAAATCTGTACTCTTAAAAAGCTACATTAAAATGATTTCATTCTTGTCTTTTACTTCCTCAACCTCCTTTTTTTTTAGAGGAGATGCACTGATTTATGGAAAAAGAAACAAATACTTTTTAAAATTGGCACCCCAAATAACAGTGGGTTCTAATATGATGTAATTTTGGTTCATTTATAACAGATTGGGTGTAAGATTGCTGTTGTGATGTTTATTTACTTCCTGGCTACAAACTACTATTGGATCCTGGTGGAAGGTCTCTACCTGCATAATTTAATCTTTGTGTCTTTCTTTTCGGACACTAAATACCTGTGGGGCTTCATCTGGATTGGCTGGGGTAAGACACTTAAGTCTTCTTTCCTTTTAAACTGGTCATGTTCTTAGGCCAGATGCTTAGGAGGATGCTTTGAAGGAAATTTAAGGCTTCTTATTTTTAGTCTGCTATCTGTATAACTGCTAGGCTTACACTTTTTGTCAGTATTCTGCTTGATCGATAATTTCTTCCTAAAAATTCTGGATTTTGAATTTCTAAACTATAATAATGTATCTTCAATTGGGATTTCTAGGTTGTATACTGTGAGTTCTCGCAGGAAATGTGTAGGATGATATTGACTGCATTTAGTAAATTCAAAGCACAAACTAATTATGGAGATTTACTATGTCTTTTAGAAGATCATTCAAATTACTTTTCGCAAGTTACTTTTTAAAAAAAGGACATTCAGCTTACATTTGAAAAAATGACAGTATTGGAATAATTACTGGATTAGACACTAACTCAGCATGACATGGAGAAAAACATATTGTTTGTTAAAATTTAGGAGAAATTAAAACTCATATAGTGTATACTTTAGATACAGACTAATCTTGAAAGTAGCAGTTACAGATCTAAGTTGCTCTTCATATTCTAATTATGAGGTGTTCAGTGTAGGAAGAAGAATCACTAAATTGGCTCAAGACTCAATTTGAAGATATTGTTTCCTTCCCTTTAAATCACAGTACTTTTCCTGTTTTGCCTTAACATTGTTTTAATGAGTGACAATGGGAAGTAAGTTGTAGGGCCTTTCCTGATAACTAGCTAATAACCTTTAAAAGAGAGTCAAATTACTGTAAAACTTTATTTACTATAAAATAATAAGTGTTGTGAATAAAGCTTTATTTCTGAAAGCAGCTTATCTTGTTTAAGGCTCTCTGATTGTTTTCAGATAACATAAAATCAGAATTTTCTTTTTTATTCTCTGAAAAAACAGATTTTCATAACCAAATAAGACAGTAACAATAGTTATCACACTGTGTATTGTTGTCTTCAAAGCAGTTACTCAGAGTGCAAGATATAAACAAATTCTTACAAAAAAAGAAATGAACAGAAAGCACAAAATTTTATCTTGTTTGTTGAGTTTATTTGTTAACCCCTGTTTGCAGCACACAGTGATTACATTCCTTGTGGGAAGTTGGTGTTGGCCATAACTCGTCTTAATTCTTTTTGGTTGTCTTGTCCTCCTCTCCCTCCCCCCTCCCTCCATCTCTTGATCTTCCCACGTGAGAAACCTCTGTCTTCTGCTTCCTGATTTGCAGGCCCTTTTGATAACGTAGTCCATGGTAATTCAATTTCATACTTTTCCCCAATGACATTATTTATTGATTTCATTGAAGAAGGGAACTTGTTTTGAGTCCTTTATTGCTCATTTGGTCTGAGTTGTCATATCTTTAAGCTCTCTTCAGCTAGATAAATACTTAGAAATAGATACATTATTTACATTGATTTTAATGATTTTTAACAACAAACTGGAAGGAAAGGAAAATTAATAGTCCAAAGAGGAATATATGGCATATTCGATGTTTTCTAGGCTGAAGGCAAATATATATCAAATGACTGTTTTACTTTATTTTTTTCAACAAACTGGAGGTAAAGTTACTAGCAATGAGAATTGTTTCTTTCTTTTTTTTCTTTCAAACACCACCTTATCTTTGCCTCAGTTTTGCCTAGATAAGGCACTTTATTCTCATCATCCATTTTATGCTTCATCTATATATTTTGTTTTGTATTTTATTTCTGTATTTTAAAGATTTCTGTCTTGTTTTTATCATTATTGAATGTGGTGATTGACCTGTATACAAAATCATCTGTCATCTGCAGCTGTCAAGTGAAAGGCCAGTATATGAAACATACTACATAAATGAGCCTATCGTGATAATTTTGTGTAGTCTTGTCCTTGTGGCTAAGCATATTCATGCAGAAAATATTCTGTTATTTCTGCTTCCAATTTTATTATCTCTGTATAAAATGATCTTAATCCAGCAGATATACTTCAATCATCCATTTCGCAGTTGATATGATTTAAATACAGACATATGTGTTGAAGTCCATGTCTTAGTCTATTTTATGTTTCCACCACAAAATCCTTGGAGCTGGATGATTTACTTTTACTTTTAATTAATTTCATTGGTACATTTCAGAGATACATAATGAAAACAGTCATCATATGGAATTTGCACCTGTATGTGATGTATCTTCATCCTTTTTTTCCCACTTTACCTCTCCTCTCTTCAACTCCTCTACCCCTCCTTATTTATAAAAGGTTTGTTTCCACTTTTTCTTCTATTCTTTTTTCTTTTTCTCTTCCTTCCTTTACTCATCCTTAGTTCCCCTTCCCATTTGAACATTGTTTTCCCGTTTCCCAATATCTGTTATACACTTTGGTTCTTATTTACCCTTTTTGTTTCTCACACCAGAGAAACCATGCAATGTTTGAACATATGTGTCTGATTTATTTCACTTACTAGAATGATCTCAAAGTGCATGCATCCATTTACTTGAGACAAGTATTTGGTGTCTCAAGTATTTGGTGTTTCCAGGATTTAGCTATTACAAATTATGCTGCTATAAACACAGATTTGCATATACTGCTGTAGTATGATGCTTTTAATATGTTTTAGGTAGGTACCCAGAAGGGGGATAGCTGGATCAAATGGAACAAGTAGCTTTTATTGAGGAATCTTCACACTGATTTCCACAATGGTTGCACCAGTCTACACTAACATCAACAGTGGAGAAGGGTTCCTTTTCCCCAAAGCACCATCAGCATTTGCTACTTGTTGGTTTCTTGATAATAGCCATTTTTTCTGGATAACAGAATATTTTAATAACAATATTTTCAGTGTTGTTTTACTTTGCATCTCTCTAATGGCCAGTGATGTTAAACATTTTTTCATTTATTTATTGCCATTTTTACTTCTTCATCTGACAAGTGTCTGTTCATTTCAGATGCCCCACTTTTGCACTGGGTTTTTAAATTTGGGGGATATGATATTTATAGTTCTTTATATATTTTAGATATTAGTACTTGGGCTGAGGAATACCTGGAAATTTTTTCCCCACTTTGTGGATTGTTTCTTTATTTTGTTGGTTTGTTTTGCTGTGCAAAAGCTTTTCAATTTGGTGTAATCTCAGTTGATATTTTCTCTGCAATTGGGATTTTATTCATAAAATCTTTTGGCTACATTTATGACTTCAAGATTCTACCTATTCTGTAATCCAGCAGTTTTAGTATTTCTCTTTTAATATTTAGATCTTTGATCTATTTCAACATTAGTTTAGTGCTTGGTGAGAGAGATGTGTCTAGTTTTAGTCTTTGGCATGTGCAAAGCCAGTTCCCAGCATCATTTATTAAACAGGCTATGTTCTTTCCAGTGAAGGTGTTTGGACCCTTTGTCACAGATAAGGTAGCTGGATGTGCTTGGAGTTGGAACGGTGCTTGTAATCTGTTCCACTGCTCCTTGGGCCTGCTTTTTTTCATTACTACAATGCTGTTTTCATCACAGTAACTTTGTAGGTATAATTTAAAATCGGCAATTTTTATGACTCCTGCTTTGTCTCTGTTGCCCTGAATTTCTTTCACAATGCTAGGTCAATGAATTTTAGGACTGTTTTATCTAATTCTGTGATGTATGCAGTTGCTATTTTGACCAGGATTGTATCAAGGCTGCATACAAATTTTAGGAGCTATTTTCACTTTATTGGTTTTTCCTACTCAAGAGCAAGGGATGTCTTTCCATTTTCCAAGTCCTCTTCAGTCTCCTTTTTCAGAGTACTGTAGCTTTCAATGTAGAGTTTTTTTGAATTCCTCTGTTAGATTGATTCCTAAGTATTTTGTTTTTTTTCAATGCTATTGTGAAAGATGCAGTTTCCTTAAGTTTTCTCTTATTGAATTTGTTGTTTGTGTACAGAAATGTTATTGATTTTTGAGTGCTGACTTTGTGTCCAGTGACACTACTGAATTTGCTTGTTAAACCTAGAAATCTTTTGGTAGAGTTTTGGAGTCTTCTATGTGGAGTACGATATCATCTGCAAATAATGATACTTTATCTTCTTCCTTTCCAATCCTTATTAGTTTGATACTTTCTCTTGTGTAATTGGTCTGGTTAATATTTCCAGAACTATACTGAGTAAAAGTGATGATAGTGGACATTCTTGTCTTATTCTTTATTTTAGAGTGAAAACTTTCAGCTTTTGACATTTATGATGCTGGCTATTGGTTTGTTACTGATGACATCAGATTGAGATAAAAACCATCAATTCCAATTTTATGTAGGGTTTTTTTTTATCATATATGGGTGTGGAACTTTGTCAACTGCTTTTTCTGTATTTGTTAAGATCATCATGTGTTTTTGTTCTTAGCTCTTTTAATATGGTGTATTAGCTTATTGATTTGCATATGTTGAACCATCTCTGAATCTCTGTGGTGTATCCTGCTTGGTGTATATTCTGGTGTAATTTACTGAATTCTGTTTGCCAGCATCTTGTAGAGATTTTTTTGCATCTATGTTTTTATTAGAGAGATTGGCCTATAGCTCTCTTTTTTGGTTGGTATTAGTATTATGCTTTCTTCCGGGAATGAGTTTGGGAGTATTCTTTCCCTTTCAATTTCATTAGAGTTTGAGGGTAGTAGCATTAGTTCTGTAAATTTCTTGCAGAATTCAGCAGTATATCCATCAGTCCCAAGGCCTTTCTTTGTTTATAGTTGTTTTTAGTTAATTTTTCAGTTTCATTACCTGATATTGGCCTATTTAGAATCTTTATATCTTCTTGATTCAGCTTTGGTAATTCATTTGTATGTAGGAATCTGTATTTCTTCTGTGTTTTCCATCTTATTAGGGAATAAGTTCTTGAAAGAGGTATTGATGATCTTCTGTATTTATAGTGAAGAGTTCACTATGATTTCACTCTTTTTATTCTAGTTGTATGGGTTTGATTCTTTTCTTTCCTTTTTTCATAAAACTGGCCAAGAATTTCTTAATTTAATTTTATGCTTCAAAGAACCAACTCCTTGACTCATTGTTCTCTTAGTTTCAGTTCAGTTTCTGCTCTGATCTTCACCACTTCCTCCCACGTAAGAGCTCTGTGCTCAACTTGCTCTTCTCTTTTTAGAAAAGCTTGATGTTCAGCATTAGGTTTTCCTCATGTGAGAATTTTCCATGATATATTTCCCGCATTGGACTGTTTTTGTTGCATCTCATGTTCTGGTTATTATTGTTTAATTTCTTCTTTAATTTCATCTGTGACCAATTCATTGTTCAGGAGGGTATTATTTAATTTTTATGTGTTTTGAAGTTTTGTGATTTCTTTTGCCATTGATTTCCAGTTCTATTGCCCCATGGTCTGATAGTGTACATCAGGTAATTTCGGTTCTTTTGCATTTACTTAAGCATGTTCTGTGAGCTAATATGTGATATATTTTGAAGATAATCCTATGTGCAGCTGAGAAGAATGTGTATTCTGAACTTCTGGCGTGGGACAGTCTATGGAGATCTACTAAGTCCATTTGTTCAAAAATTTGATATTTTGATCTAGTTCATTTGTCTTTTTGTTGACAGTAGAGTGTTGAATTCCTCCATTATGATTGTTTTAGTGCTTATTTGATCTTTCATGCCCATTAGCATTTGTTTTATGTATATTTATGATTATTATGTTTTCCTCTTGAATTGTTCTCAAAGCAAGGATGTAGTGATCTTCTTTATCTCTTGATAAGACTTGTCTTGAAATCTACTTTGTCTGCAGATAGTACAGTGATGGCTGTATTTTCTTGGTTCTGGTCATTAGAATGTTATTTTTCATACTTTGATTTTCAGTCTATCAATTTCTTGTTGAGTTAGTTGTGTTTCTTGAATGTAGCATATTGCTGGATCTTGTTTTCAGATCTCTTCTGCTGGTCTGTTTGCTTTGATTGATGAATTGAGACCATTTACATTGATGGCTATAACTAATATGTATTGACTTATACTTGTCATGTTAGTTCCTGTTGTTGCTTCTCTTTCTTTCTCTTGTTTTACTTGATTTACATGGTGGGTTAGTTTTGTTAGGGTTCATGAAGTTTTTTAGGCTTTGTTATCTCTTTCTGGAATAACTTCAGAACATTTTGAAGTGCTGGTTAGTTGGTCATGAATTTCTTCGGGTGTTCTTTGCCATGGAAATATCTTATTCTCCATCAATTTTGAAAGATCATTTTGCAGGGTAAATCAATCTGTGTTAAAGTTGTTTTCTTTTAGGAGCTGAAATACTTCATTCCAAACTGCCCTAGACTTGAGGGTTTGTGTCGAGAAGTTTTCTGTAATTCTGATGGGCTTTTCTTTATAAGTGATTTGTTTCTTTTCTCTAATAGCTTTTTTTTGGTCTTTTTATCAGTACCAGGGATCAAACTCACGACTGCCTGCTTGCAAGGCAGGCGCTTATGTCACTGAGCTAAATCCCCAGCCCCTCTCTAATAGCTTTTAATATTCTGTACTTGTGTTAAATTTCTGGAATCCTAACTATTGTGTGGCTTGAGGTATATTTTTTTTGATCCTAGTTAGTTTGGAATTGTATATAATTCACTTATCTGAATGTCAAATTCTTCTTCCATGCTTGGCTTTTTATACCATTACTTACATAAACAGTTTTTGTTAATGTCATTTGCTCTATCTTCTGCTTTTTCATTGATTCTGATCAATCTTATATTATTTTTCTTTGTATACTTGGGATTGATATTTTGTGGTTCCTTGTTATTTTTAAGAAATTTTTCTTTTCATGATCGCTAATCATAGTCTTGTCTTCTAGATCTAATTTTTGTCTTCATATTGATTCATTCTACGTTATGTATTTTCAATTTCCTGGATATCTGATTGAAGTTGGTTTATAATTTTTTTTCTGGCACTGGGGATTGAACTCATGACCTTGTGCTTGCCAGGCAGGCACTTATGCTGCTGAGCTAAATCCCCAGCCCCTGATTGAAGTTGTTTTATGGATTCCATTTCTTTCCTATGTTGTGCATTCATGGTTTCCAGCATTTTTCTAAACTTCTCTGTTGTTGTTGTTTTAAATCTGTATCTTCTTTAGCGTCACTAATTATGTCCCTCATTGTGGTCACCATCTCTGAAGTTATCTAAGAAGTTATTTCTGATTTGATTCTTTCATTTGCTTGCTACTTCCACTGTTACTACTTCAGAGAGCCCAGGTGGGTGACTTTGGAATTGTGCCACCTCATTGCTCACTGGGTTTGTCTTTTGCAAGCCTGAAGTCTGTGCAAAGTCTTGAATCTGTGTCTTTTCATTTTGTTTTTTCAGTGTAACTCCTGTGTTGATGCTTGTAAGTTGTTTATCATTTTTATTGCTAGCATTAAGATGCCTTAGGAAATGACTTCTCAGATGCCTTCCAGATCTTGCTGGCCTTTGGGTTTTGCATCTGTGGCAAAATCCTATCTGTTCAATTTATTGAGGATGTGAAATTACTGCTTATTTGGTCTAGCCCTTTGTTTTTTGGCACTGGCCTATAGCATTGTTTGTAACTCCCAGGCAATTTTAATCTTGGCGTACAAAGAGAAACAACTGATTAGAACAAGTATGTCACCTTGGCTATAGTAGTATAATAAGTAATAAAAATATCATCAAACACACCCAAGAGCATGAGAAACTGTGATAACTATTAATTTTCAACCTTCAACTGTATGAAGATGATTCATAGTTATATAACAAAATGTAAAATGCAAACCACATTTTTACAATCAAATATTCCCACAATGTGGCAATTTTACCTTCACAGAGAAAATTTAAAATAGGTTAGGTAAAAAATAGAGCACTGGAAAAGGAGAAAGTTTTAGCAGGAATGCAAATAGAGAAAGGAAGCTTCTACAAGTTTTGGGAACTGGTGAAGAAGACAGGAGGGAAAGAAAGAAGGGAGGAGCAGAAATGAGAACAGAAAAAAAATCTAGAAATGATGTTCTCACTCATATAAAAAACAAGAGCAATCAATGAATTAAAAAGACAAAAATATATTAAAAAATAAAAGAGTAAAGAAAGCAAAGCAAAAAAAAAAATAAGTACACTTCAGCTTGTCTCTGCTGTCACTGGTTAACAGAGCAGACAGACAGAGCCCAGATCCAGGTTGAATGATCCCAGTAAACCAGCAGTAGATTTCTGATGGTCAGTAGTCCCCCTAGTTTTGGATGTCTAATTCCAAATACAGCAACACAAGGAAGAGAAGGAGGAGGGAGTGGGTCCCCAGGACTTAGCACAGATCTGAAGGAAAAATTAAAGCTCACAGGGTGGGTGAAGAGAGGGACCAAAATCCAGAAAGCAGAGGGAGCAAGAGATGGTTTTTCCCTGACACTCAGCTCGTGATGTGGGAGGGGCATCTCAAACTGAAGGAGCACAGTGATGCTGCCAAACCCAGAGGACTCCATGGAGAATGCACCAGTGGAACAGAGCAGGTGATGCTTTTGGGTCCTGGCTGTGAGGCAGAGACCTGAGTTTTTGAGCCCACAACACTCCAAATGCCTCCTGCTGTCTTGAATTTGACTGCCTGCCAGTTTGAACTCAGCTCCCTGACCTCCTGCCAGCTTGAACTGGATAGTGCCTCACTCTGACTCTTGGAGCCACTAGATAGAGTCAGTCCACAGCTGCTCTGAGTCCTGAGTTCAGTTGGCCCCCTTCCAAAATGGCTGCTGGCCAATTGTCCTCTCCTGGCTGGGGTGTCTGAACCCAAATCATTCACCAGCCACTGCAGTCTCCAGCATCAGCTGCTAATTGTTAGTACTACAATGTGTAACGAATATGGGAAAAAATTCTTAGGCTTAAATTCAATATGGTCTCTGAATTTTTTCTGATGACAGGGTTTCCAGCAGTGTTTGTTGTGGCCTGGGCAGTGGCACGAGCAACTCTGGCTGACACCAGGTGAGTAAAACCCAGAAGAGATGGAGAGTGAACACAGGTTTCTCAGACTCAGATTTCCTGCTTGGAGTCTACGCTGGCTGCTCTTCCTGATGCCACTGTCCTGTGGGGAGGGACATCATGTGGGAAGTGGCAACAGTAACCTCCAAGACATTAGCAGCAGATTTCTATCCCAAAGGCCCTCAGACAGAAAGACTCACAGACTAGGTTGAGATACCTGAGCTCCCCGGTGTATGAAACCAGTCTAACATGCGGTGAGAATGAGCATGCTGGGACATGGTGTGAACAGGCACAGCAATATTCCTACTTCCTGTCTTTTTCCTGCATAACAACCTTCCCAATTTTAGTGTGGATGCGAGGGTCAGAGGTAGGAGGTTGCACTATGGGGGCCACTAGTCAGATTCTTGCAGGGCCAGTGACACGTGCTGGCTGATTTAGAGACACAGGAGCAGGTCCATTTGTCATAGCTGTACATTCTCCGCCTGATGAGCTCTGTGCTTTATTTTCATCCTTGCAAAGGAAGTACAAGAATGAATTTTACCACTAAGTAGCTGAATTAAGACTTCAAGAATATTGAGCACTCCTGAAATAAAATATTGGGAGTACTTTATTTCATTTTATCTGTTTAGTATGTCATAAATGTTTAGCTTGTAGTTGTCTCACGTATCTTTATTTCCTACACCTAACACATGTGCTCTAGATATTATCACTTGTTTTTATTTAATGCAAGCTATGTGTTTCATTCATTCCATTTGCTTTCTTCTAAGAGCAGAAAGGTAGCATAATATACTTTACTATCCACTGGTTACCTATGTTGTATATATTTAGTTAGCTTCTTGGAAGCTGTGTTAGTTACCATTGCCATTGTTGGAACAAAATATCTGATACCTGCAATTTAAAGGAGGAGATACTCATTCAGCTCATGCTTTCAGAGAGTTCAACCCATGCTCAGTGGGCTTCAAGGCACAAATGGCATGGTAGACGGTCCTGGCAGAGGGAAACTCCTTAAACCATGGCAGCGAGGAAGCAGAACAAGAGAGACTGCAAGAGGTCAGGGGCCAGATATAGGCTCCAAGGGTAGAAGTGTCCTGTACTAATCCTGTGGGTGCGTCTCAAGCCAGTCAAGTTGACAATCCAGTGCAACTGTCACAGGAACATCTCTTAAATGCCATCAATATCCTTTTTTGAATTAGTAGGTATTTCCTTTAGAAATTAGTTGATCTGCTATGCACTTAATTTTTAAAAGGCCATACTCCATGAGCACCTGAACTCTGTAAAGAACCCGCCACTCACTGTTTCAGAAAATCTGAACTCTCCAAGTCCCTGTCTAGGAGCAGCCTTCCTGCAGTTACTTGCATCAGTTTCTCTTGGAATCAGAAACTTACTGGCTTCACATTTCCACTTGTTTATATCCCTTTGTGCTATTTGGATTCATTAAAATTTGACAAGTAGGATTATTGTTATCTACATTATTTTCATTGTTGTTAAATTTACACAGTGATGTTGAAGACCTCAGAGGAAATTTGTAGAATCTGCTGTCTGATTCCCAGAGGCAGGAGGTCGAGTTGGTAAATAAGAACTAATTAATGTTGCAAGAATCACATTCTGAGATGCATAACTATGTAACATAGATTCAGTTTTAGATACGGTACGATATCAGGTGTTTTTTGGTCCAATGTCTTCATTTTAGAGATAGATAAAATGATACCCAGAGACAGCAGGAAATATTCTCAAGCCAGCCCGGAGCAAAATTTTGACTCTTTTTCATCCTTCGAACACATTCTAGGTCTTGAGCCAGAAAGAAAGTAAATACATTCAGAGTATACTTTAAATTGAATTTGATGGTTTTCTTAGTTATTTTGCTTTCTTAAAGATTATAAACTAGATCTTAAAATAGTAATAATCATGTCTTTACACTGCAAAAAATAAAAATAGATTTTTTTAATTTTTGAGACAAAACACCCACTGGATAGTATATTATAACTGATGCTAAATGCTGTTCTGAAACAGTTGAACTGATGTAAAAAATTAAATATAAATGATATTGTGTGATTTTGCATTGTAAAACATTTTACTTTTTCTCTTCCCTTTCTCACAATAAAATTTTGAATTCTACACTGTCTTATTGGAAAACTAGAAAGTCATTTTAGACTTCACTTTGCATGTAAAACTAAGCTGCATTACTATTTATTTGGCATGATTTAAAAACTGCCTGATTGAATTTTTCATGAGACTCAGAGAATGTTTTTGTGGTTTTCTTGGATAGACCTTGGCATGTGTAAAGAGCCATGTCACAAAGTTAGGCAAAGAGGTAAAAGCCTTTATGTATCTCCAAAAGAAAGACAGGGTTCATAGTCATGACTTACATTTGAGATTCCACTCCTGTTTTGGTCCTTCAAAGCTAGAGCTCTGATAGTTTTCTGGATATTGGCCATTTGGAGATATACAGAGTAGACTGAATTTTAAAAGTGCTTTATGAATGGAGGGTGGATATGAACAAAGTATACTAATAAGTATTGAGGCTCCCACTCCATGTGCAAGTGTGGGGAAGAGGAGAAGGAGAGCAAAGGGAAGGATGGCGTGTGGTCCAACTATGTTAGAAATACTCTATGGGAAGCTATTGGCATTACAAAGAAAGCCTCTTCCAGTTCTAAAATTGTATCAAGCGTTATTCAACGGAGGGATGTTAAGATAATTTAATATACTAGGATGAAAAAATAAGATTTTGAAGTGAGTGATTTTGCCTTTCCTTTTACTTACAAAAGCAACATCTTTCAAATACCTTACTGCCTCCTCTTTAGCTCTTTCAAAGAACGCCCACAACTGGGTGTGCCTGTGGCTTCTTTGCTGTGTTCTTGTTTTACTGTTCAGCAGGACAGGTGGGGCCATGGAAAGAAACTCTCTGAGGTTCCCAGGACTCTGGTGGATTCTCAGGCCCGGCCTCTCGCTTCCTCTGCTGACAGAGCTGTGGAGAGTGCAGTGTTCGCTCAGTGCAGTTTATACCCTGCCACACAGCGTGTTTCTAAGACTCAGGAAGTTGTGTTTTCCAGCCAGATCTTCGTGCCTTACCTACGGCTTAGCATTCAGAGCTGTATTTTCTAGAATGCTGAAAAACTATTTAAAAAGTCATGTTCATAAACACAATGTGAACTGAGTTATTAAAAAATTAAAATGATGCTTCATGGATTCATAGCATTTTATTTTTTAAAATTAATTAATTTATTTTTTGTATTTTTACCGGTACCACGGATCGACGACCACAGGCTTGCAAGGCAGGCGCTTATGCCAATGAGCTAAATCCCCAGCCTCTCATAGCATTTTAAAAAATGTCTGAAATCTCAGTTGTATCTCTTATAGGACAGGGCAAATTGAAACGTGATGACAAAAATTGTCAAAATCAAGTTTTTCATGATTTTAGATGTAGCTGCTTTTGACCTACTTCCAAGTACAAGGATTTTGTAGAATTATATGATTGAGTCCCAGCATGTTAGGAGATATCATGATGAAATGTCGTTGAGAAAAAGAAAGAAGACTGTGAAAATATCATCCAGTGTCAAAAATTGAAACGGAAAATCTGTGAAATCCAAAAGCATTGTAGCTGGTGAATCAGTGTATATTTTGAGTTCCACAATACATTTGCCACTTTCCTTATCAAAGAAAACTTTTTATGGCAGTATGATGCATGCTCTGGACAGCCCAGTTTTCATGTCTCTTGTATTTCTCGTCTGGTTGAGTTATGTGACAGATAGACACCTTTACCAAAAATTAGGAAATGATCTAAGTGTGACCTTAGATCAGGTTGGTGTGACCCATGTCTCAGAGGGCTGAGTCCGTTTTACAAGGGCTACGCTGGAATTAGACTTTGGAGTCTGGTTGGCTCCTATGGTACAGCTGTGAGATGTAGCTCTCTTGGCACGGATATGGAAAAAATTTAAAAATACACTTTAAATGCATAGGAAGACAGAGGATACATTCATTTTCTTTTAGAGACAGATATGTTCACTTTCTGTGACTGTGACAAAATACCTAAAATAATGAGTTAAAAAGAGGAAAGAGTTTGTTTTGAGTCAGTTTTTAGTTTATAGTTGGTTGGCCCTGTTGCGTTAGCTCTGTGGGAGCACAGGACATCATGGGGAGGATGTCAGAGGGGGCAGCTTCCCTCATGTCAACTGAAAGCAGAAAGACAGTGTGTTCCAGGTCCCAGTATGTCCCTTGAGGACACAGCCCCAGCCACCCAACTTTCTTCCACTGGAGTCTTCCACCCTAAAGGATTTACAGCTCCCTAACAGTAGCACAGGCCGGGGTCAAATTTCTACACCTAGACCCTCGGCGAAGGTTTCAGATCTAAACTGTAGTAATGGGGAAAATAAGAATGTACCATTTGTATTTTGTGTGTGTAAAGAACCACTGGACCTGATACCATAAGGTAACAAAAGATGTTCTCTGTACAGAGCAGGGAGCGGCAAGGGTAGACAGGAACATGGAGGAAGGTTGAAATATCTTTTTATATATTTTGATTTTTGAGATGAGAATACATTATCTGTATACATACATGTTAAATTTTAAAAATACGGAGTTGATAAATATCTACTGAAGATGTTTTACCTTTAAGGAATAGTTGAAATAGCATTTCATTATCCATAAGATTTTCACTAATAAAACAACTTGTTAATTTCTTCATAGAGTTTAAAAGTTATCATTATATCTCCTAAGTTTTTATAAATGATGTCATTTACTATTGCCTCAATGCTGTTTTGTCTGAGAAAGAAATTGAAGGGTCTTATTTATGTCTTTAAAAAAATCTTTAAATTGTTAAGCTAAAGTTTCAAAAGATGCTAGTTTTATTTTTAAATACTGCTGTGGTATTCTAGTGTAAGACCTTTAACAGTATAAACCAGATTGCATGAAGTTGAGTCAAAATTACTTTTGATTTAATTTTTGTCAATTCATTCCCACAAATATCTATTGACTATCTACTCCATACTGTTGTAGGCACTTGTAATACTTCACAACACACGTGCACAAATAATGATCCTTGACCAGGTAGAGCTTAAATTTTAGTTGAGAATCAGAAAATAATTGATGGCAAAACAAACTTTAAATAATTAAGATAAAATAATGGATTATTTTAATACAAAATACAAAATGAATGCCTGTCGTGGGTTTTAAAAATGCTATTGAATGAGGGAACAAGTAATATATAACTGGCTCAAAAGAGATATCAAAGAACCACATATTTATATTCAGGAAAGTGAATACTGAAAATTTACAAGTAAATAGAAATACTAGTTACATTCTATAGAACAATTATATCTCATTGAACAGAGCTAATTTTTCTTTCTATGGCAAGAATCACTTGAGTTCATTTTTAAAAATTATACTTCTATGGATAAGAATGATTTATATTGTTGTTGTTAATATGCTACTATTTATGGACTTGCAAAATAAAATTGCTTTGTCTTCTGAAAGGAAGAGAACTTTATCAATGAGCTTAGACTATTATGTCTTGTTTTCATGGTTTATTAAAGCGAAGTGTCAACTGCACCATTTAGAAGACTATTTTGTTGGTGGTATTCTGGAAATAAGGTTTTAACTCTGGTCACTGTAAAACTTAATTCACTATATTCACAATACTGTGCTTACATAAGGGAAATCTGACAGTGTGGAACTCAAGATCTATTACATGTAGTTTCACAGATTTAGATATTTTAAAATAAAACTTTTCATCCATTTGTTTTTTAATCAACAGAATGGGACTAGGTTTTTGGTAAAATGTGAAATATTGCTTCTCATCGTTAATTTGCTTTGCCAAATATATTCATGAAAGTTCTCTTTCATGTTTCAGGTGCTGGGAACTTAGTGCTGGAGACAGGTGGATTTATCAGGCTCCAATCTTAGCAGCTATTGGCGTAAGTTTAAAAGCTTACACAGTTAGAAAAATGAAAAATTAAACTACTGCTACAACTCAGAGGAAACATGTCTTGACAATACGTGTAGGAAATTTGCAAGTACAGTGATCACTACTGGGAAAGTCAAGATTGGGAATAGACTCTTACTTATACTTGATACTGAGACCCGTGTAGAATGCAAATACCCTTCCTTTAATCAGATCACACTGGGGACAGTTCTGAAACTCTAAGATGTCACAAATATTTATATGTGCAGGGAGTCAGAAGGTCCTGAATCATCTTCTCCTTTTTTCATCCGCTATAACTCCACTTTAACAGTCTGATCATCTAATAGTAAGGTAAGTGGTGGATGGAGAAAGATAGAATGGCAGAACAGAGAAATTACTGAGAGACACTAACAGTGTTGTCTTACTTTTTTTCTCCTTACTGAGACAAAATACTCCACACCCAAAGTTACAGGAGGAAAGGTTTCTTGTAGTTCACAGTTTAGAGGTTTCAGTTTATAGTCAGCTGGCTCCAGGACAGGGTGGAGGGCAGAGGGGCATCATAGAGCAAGGTGGCAGCAGACAAGCAGCTAGCCAAGAAATAGCACCTGACGGCACCTTTTCTGTTGCTTATAGTCCATCCAGGTTACCGGGAGGGTAACGCTCACACCCAGAGTGAGGCAGCCATAATGCTAGCACTGCACTGTGAATCAATCCCAGCATCTTGTCCTTAATTCCAGCACCACACATTATAGGTCCAGCCAGCTCTACAAAGCTCCGCCTATGACCGCACAAAGCTTTGGGGGAACATCTAGATAGAAGCCATAACAAGTGTGATCCATTGTAAAGTATTGCCTAAAGCTTTTATTTGGTGCACTTTCCCCCAAAGAGTTAAGTGAATCCCAGATCAAGAAATATCCTGTAGGATCCTGTTTAATAGGCAGTGGAGAGAAAAACTAGAGTTGGAAGTGAGTATTACATAGGACTTTATGTGTCTACTGTATTTCTATTGTATGTTGCCCTGGTGTTAAAAAAGAAAACACGATTGTACATTGTATCTGACAGACTCACCAAAGTGTTTACTCCTGACCTTTCATGAAAACTTTACAGCATCAGCTTTTCTGAGGTTCTGTGAAGGAGTTATTACTATCTTGTGTTTTCCTGCTGGTCATGAAATACAAGATTATAAGCTTCTTAAAAATAGGACTAATGTCCCAATGCTGAATGCTAAATCATTAGGAAGTAATTTAACTCAGGTAGCCTGTTAATTTGTTTGTTTTTCCTTTTTCTCCAGTTTCTTGCTTTTTCTTGTTTTGTCTTTTTTTGGATAATGTGTTGCTCATTTGGCCAGCATATTTGCAGGCTGGATCCAGATGGACAGCTATTGATATGGTTGAAGTTTTGTAGAATCATCCCTATAGTCAGTTAGAAACTTGATTCCTAGGAAAGTTGCCAAAAGAAAATGGAGGAGATTTTTAAAAATCTTCATGTTAGAGGCCTATTACATGAATGTTGAGAAGGAGAAAAACATTTAGAACATTTTTAGAAAACCCAGTTGTATTTTTGCTAAAATATTTGGTTGTCAAGCTAGATTCAAACCTGTATGTCTTAGGATAAGACAGTGAGGTGGAGATGAAGTAAATGGTTTAAACTTATAAACTATTATAATTTAAGTTATTAGTTTAAATTAAATGTTTTTTTAATGTAAATGAAATATAGGACCTGCATCTGTATCTATGAAAGAGCATTAATGAACTTAAAGATGAGAAATAACTTTATAAAATAGGAGCTGATGGTTACTCCTTTGATACCTCTTTTATCCACTAGAACTGTCTCATCATCTTTATTTCCAAGCCTTTTATTTTTCAGGTTTCTCTTCTACCTGCTGCTCCTTCATCCTTGTTTTTATCTTTTCAGAGAGACAATCTATTTTTTGTGTGTATCTTTAGTACTCTTTCCAGGGTATCTGTATGAGAGGTACTCACTGTTCTTGACCTATATTTATAATGATTGTTTGAATTTTTATCCTATGAAAAAGGAAGAACCTATTGAAATTCAAGATATTCTTTCAAAATTATTAGGAACTAAGGGCAATGCAGGAAGATAAGTCACAGAGCATTTCCCATCAATAGAATTGATTCTTACTGAAATCTTGTTGTTTGTGTATAGATTTGATTTCCTCACCGTCAACATGAATGGAAGTATTTTTTTGCTGAGATTTCTGTTACAATATAAAACAGTAAAATTAGGTGACTAAAGAGTGTTTAAAAGAGTCACCTTTTACAAAAGACAACTAGAAATGATGTACTTAATAAATTTGAAGAAAATATAGGTGGAAGGTTATTTACAACTTGAATTACAATTATCACAGCTCTGAAACAAGAATCCTTAAATACATAACCTGAGACATTATAGAGAAGAATCAATAACATCTTTCTGTCAAACAAGTTATTTTTTGTTTTATTATCACAACAATAGTATCAGAATTTCCTTGAAAAGTTCATTACCTGCTAGTGCATCTGAACGTTCTCATAAAACGTTAAAAATTAGACATGAAACCTCCTGTTTTTATCAGTAACTTAGCGAAGGTTGATTTATGAAAGAGAAAAATTAAGAAGGGAAAAGCAAGTTATCTAAAGGAAAGAAAAAAATTGAATTACAAAAAGAAATATCTTGAGACATAAGAAGATAAACCTCAAGTGTGGAGCACTCCAAATGTGGAAATCCCAGTGTGGACAGCTGTATTGGTAGTAAAATTGCCAGTGGAGGTTCAGATGATCACCTTGAAAGCACATGCAGAAGTCCTAGAGACACTGGCATCAGATGACATGCAGTAAACTCAAGAAGACATGTTTTCAATCCTGAATTCCAAGGGCAGTGATGATTTTCCTTGGAATTCCAAAGACCAATGTTGTAGGCAAGACTGGCATTCAGAAGAATTAAGGTCATTTAATGTCTACTTTGGAGGAAAGTAGTAGCTGGTGAGCAGATTCACTCATTTGTTACCATAGATGGGGAGTGTGTGGGAAAGACTCGTGACGGATGTGCCTCAAAGCTGTGCAACAGTATCAAAAACTGGAGCTGAAGAAAGGGCAGAGACCAAACCTTGAAGGAACTCATGCTTCTCATTAAAGAATTAAGAACTCATCCATTGAGTGTTGACAACCAGAGGTTTTCCTTTGGAGAAGGATGGAATCAGATTTCTTGTTCAGAAAGTCCCAGGGCTTGGTTCAGATGGCCAGAGGTCAGTGTGGTACTACTGGGTGTCTGCCATGGGGGAGTTTCAGTCATAGTGTCCGTGAGTGGTCAGGACATGATCTGAACGCATGAGGAAGCAATGATGACCAAGAACTGGGGTTTGGGATTCTGGACACTTTCCTTTTGGGCTTGGACCAATGTTCCTTATTTCCATGAGCTGGTCCATTGTTTCTCCCCCAAGTCCATGTCATGTCACCTTGCCCCTGTGCTACCGTAGCTCCAGACAGTGATTTTCTTTTAGTTCTGTGAAATACTGCACTGTTTCTCACCTCAGCACCTCTGCCTATACTATTATGTTTCCTATTACCTGTCATCTGCCTAGTGTCCGTCCATTCTTCCTTCCAGTCCCAGTTTAAAGTGCTTCTTCAGGCAGGTCTTCCCTTCACCTTACAGATGTGTGCCATATCACAGTTGTTAAGAGCATAGTCCTGGGTCTATCCTTTTGTGGACTGCCTGATGACTTCTCAGGCTGTGCAGATAACTTTCTTTATCCACAAAGGTCACCATGTCATTAGTTTGATTATTTTTCAAAAGCTATTATGTATCAAAAATGGTATAAGTATTATCTCTTATTGATATGTTTAGGAGTTAATTTTACTCTTGTTAGTAAGCATGTTAGTAGTACACATGTTTAATATTAGAAGGCTTTACTTTGTAATCAAGAAAATAGATTTGAAAAAGTTGTTAAGCTTTTGTAATTTTTTAGTAAACCACTATTCACCTTTCATTCAAAAAAATTCCCTATGAGCGTTTTTCTTTTTTAAAATTTTACTTTAAAGTGGATAAAAACCAAACAAAATAAAACAATAAAGCCAGTCAAAACAAAACAATGAAAGCAATACAGGACTTCAGAACAAGATAATAGGAAATCAATGATGACCACCATAATATATCTTATTATCTTCAAAATAGCTGCCCCTACCATCAGACATAACAAAATCAAACAAAAGCAAACCAGAATAAAAGGAAGCAAAACAAAACAATGAAAATGATACAGGACTTCAAGACAAGATAATGGGAAATTAATAATGGCTACCATAGTGCCTCTTGTTATCTTCAAAATAGCTGTTCAGACCATCAGACATAGGTGTATAAAATTAATCAAACAATTCAGGAGCTGAGCTGCTTCTTTACTTCAGTTGCTATCTTTTCAGAAACCTCAGGTATGTGACCTCTTGTTTCTACAATGTGTCTCCTGAACTTGTTCTGTGTGCGCTCAGGCCTGAGACTGCATTTTGCTTCTTTGTCTTGATATTTTCCTGTGTTCCTCCAAATCAGCCCATTGCTGCATCCTGGGTGCTTCCTGCTTTTGTTGCTAGACCTTCACTATAGTGGATTGGACTAGATATCTAGCTAGGTTCCTCAGAGCTGGGGTTCCTAGAGTGGTGGAGAGGCTTGGGGTGGTGGTTCACTGATGGTTCCCTGATGGCAGTGGGCTGCAGTGCCTGGCTTCTTTTCTGGGCTGGCGCTGGGCTTTCCTATCTCTCCCTGGTGTGGCTTTTTCCTATCAAGTCCATTTATTCACAGGTTTGGTTCAGCTCTGATAGTTTTTTCCTGATTTTTTGTTTAGTTGATCCATCTCTCTGTGACAATGGGGGTATTGAGGCTTCCCTTTACAATTGTGTTATTGCTCATTTGAGTTTCCATGTCTATCACTAACTGTCTTATATAGTTCAGTGCTTCTGCATTAGGTACATATATTTTTATGGTTGTTATAGCATTTGTGCTGTCTCCAGCTTTGTCATTGATCTCAGTCAC